TTGGAGGCTTTACCCTGGCAGCTTGCTCACGCCATTTGACAACATATTCGCGGAAGCTTTCCGTGACTTTCTTTTTCAAATTGGACAAAAACATTCCATTGGGAGCAATGTCCACATTATATTGGAACTGGTGAACAAAATCTCGGGCCATATCATCCCACACGTGCCAATGGGTAATTTCTTAATCCATATACTACTCAGAAGCGATTTTGGTTATCCTTTTCCCAAAATAGTCCATTAGCAGCTCCTTTTTTCCACCAGCACCTCTCAACTGGTTACAGTATCGTTTCAGATGAGCAACCGGGTCTCCGTGCCCGTTGTACTTTTCAAATTTTGGCATCTTGAATCCAACTAGCAAGTGGACATGGGGAAACATACAGAGTTCAGAGTATGAGACACTCTTTTGGCTACTCAGACCTTGCATGTTTTTCAGGCTTTGTTCTAGGCTCTTCATCTTCTGAGCCATTTCCTCTTGCTCGGGATTTTTAACAACCTTTTCTTGCTCCTCCGAGAGATCATATGTTGGAGGTTGAGTGAAAGGGTACAGGGTCACATAAGTTATTTCTGATTGAAGTTGTGGACCCTGAAAGGTGAACATTGGAGGCTCAACATACGGCCATGGTAAAGTTGGTTGTGTTCTGGTGCAGACTGGTGCTAGAGAGAACAATATTGGAGGTACCCAAGAAACTGGCGCCTGGGGGTGAACCACAGAAGGCATGCCGAGATCATTGAACAGGATTGGAGGGTGCCTGCATGGGATGAGCGGGTTGGGCACAGGGGCATTAGTAACCTCACTTGACCTGGGGATCAACTTAGGGAACCCAGGGATTGCACTTGGCAGTTCCCTACCATTAGAACAGGTGTCCCACATTTCCAATATGTGGAGATGCAACATCTTATTCTCTTCTGCAACTGCTGATTCTAGCTGCAGAATAGCCGATGACGGGCTATCCTCAGGATTGATGATTGGTAGATTGCTTGCGGAGGCCATTTGTGCCTTTGGATCTTTTGAGGGAGGAGAGTCTAGACTACTAACATAACCAACCACCAAAACCTGACTAGTTTGCACACCCAAAAATCTTGTTAGTTTTGAGACGCTTAACAGATAGGAAATCGTACGTTTGGATGCAATGCACCTAAACAGTTAAACGTTTCTACCATGTGTTTGAACAGTTGCATGTTTCATCCCAGCCTTAGTTAACCCATTCGGTATGTACCCCTTTTCTTTTATTTCTGCCCCTCTTAATCACTCTTGATTTTTTTTCATTTCATTTTGTCGCTCTTTTATTTTTGTCACTCTCTTTTTTTTCACTCTTTTTTTCGACTCAATTTTTCTTTCTCTTTTTTTTTTCAGTTTATTTTTTACTCAATTAATTTTATGGATATGATCGAATCCGATGAGGATTGGCTACATATCATGACGCCGCATGAATCAAATCTTGCGTAGTTCGGGAATATTAAAAATGGAGTAAATAAACTAACTTTTTTTTACTTGGAATTTTTGAAAGAAATGCTTTAAAAGATGAAAGGAAATAATTTTTTTGTTTTTGATTTTTGTTTTGTTTTTGAAAGAAAGACTTCTAAAAATTCATTTGCTTTAATTTGAACTTTGGAAATTTTAAAAGTCAAAAGAAAATATTTTTGTTTGAATTTTCACTTGTTTTCTCTTTTTCTAAAGAAGAAAGAAAATATTTTTGGATTTTGGATATTGCCTCTTAATTTTTGAAAGAGGGATTTTTAAGAAAATGTTTTGGATTTCTGAGTTTTTATTTATTTACGAAAGCACTTCTAAAGAAAAGTGAACGTATTTTTGGACTTTAATTTTTTTTAAATTTTTTTTTGAAAGAGAGAATTTTAAACAAGGAAAAGATTTGTTTTTTAATTTTTCAGAAAATACTTCAAAATAAAGGAAACCCGTATTTTGGATTTTGATTTTTGATTGATTTTGTTTTATTTTTTTTCATATGAAAGACTTAAGAAAGAAGGAAACTGTTTTTTTGAGTTTAAAATATTTTTTTTGAATTTTCTAAAGAAATGTTTCTAAGGACGGAATTAAAGGAAAGTATTTTTGGATTTTTTTTTTTTAAAAAAAATATTCGGGCCAGAACCGGTGAGGTTTGCCGACGTATCTCACATCCGGTAAGAATCAGATCCGCGTAGTTAGGTCAGTTTTGACGGAACAAGGGAAACATGACACTTGAAAATTTTGGCTCATTTTGAAATGACTTTTTTTCTTACTTTTTTTTCCTTCAAAATTTCGGCGGAGTTTCAGAATTTTCTAAATAACTGGCTCTCACTTTTTTTTGGATTTTCTTTCCCTATTCTAGAAGTCAGTCAACATGCAAGCCAAAACAAACAGGTGCACAAGTAGCAAGTAAGATGCATCAGGATGGTCTTTTTTAATTTGGGTACACCTGTCCTAGACGGACCCAACCCCTGTGTTGAGTCCACAAAGTCAAATGCACGTGATGCAAACAAGCGTTCCTACTAGGGATCCGACATGAGGCTATGTTATTCTAGGTTTAAAAACCTGGGTGTATTTGTTCTAGACTTGGTGTACCCGAGCGGACAACTCGAGCCGAGGGGGGGCTACGTACCGGGAACCAAAAGGCCATCCGACTTTGTAACTTGTCCGAGCCTCTTTCTTAATTTAAGGTATGACACTAACAGAAGAGGAGCCACGCCAGCGTGCACATCCCCAAATATGAGAAGAGAAGGGTTTCGTAACAGTTTATATACAATTCAAATAATATCAAAGCGGTAAAAAGCGGCATTTAGCACATTAGGCTCAAACATGTAAAAATCAAATAATAAATAAAGCCAAGTATAACCATTATTCTAAGCTCAAATTCTTGAACCCTGAACCAGATATTCTGGGTTCGATCCCCAGCGGAGTCGCCAGAGCTATCACACCTCCTTTTACCACCCGAGAGGGTATATAAGGGAGTTTTTCCAATTAAAGTGACATTATTCAAAATGAGATTATTTATTTATTTATTTATTTTAGAGTCGCCACTTGGAATAATTTATGGTGTTCCAAGTCACCGGTTTATTTTAAATCCCAAATCGAGAAAATTTTCGACTTTATTTAAAAGTCTGCGAACCAAAAATTCTAAGTAAGGAATTCTGTTAACCCGGGAGAAGGTGTTAGGCATTCTCGAGTTCCGTGGCTCTAGAATGGTCGCTTAAACTATTATTAATTGGCATATTATCTGATTTACTACACATTTTAAACCTATTGTGCATTTTTTTAAACTTTATAACCGCTTTTAATTAATTATTGTTACATATTGCGAATCATGTCACAGGAACCGTATCCACGATCTACAACATGTTTAATTTTTAAAGATTAAATTATTGTCAGGTCACATAAATGTACCCCCGGATTTTAGTAATTAAGCGTCACGACTACGTCACGGGAACCGTACCCGTAGCTATCACAATTATTTAATTAACGAGCCTAAAGCAAACTACGAAAGTTTGAGGCATTTTCTATACTAATTTTATTTATGTGAGGGCCATAAGTTATGGATTTATTTTGCGTATGGCGCACCTCGACTTATTTTCTAAAAGGATTAGCTCTTGATCTAATTTGTTGAGGGCCATGTATTATAAGTTTTAAGCATGGCACACCTCAAATTAACTTAAAATAAGGGTTATATATTTTAAAGGCAAACTAAAGGTGCTCCTATTTTTAATTTAATTTAAAACTAGTTATCACAACCACGTCACGGGAATCGTACCCGTAGTTGTAATAATTTAATTGCGCACCTAAAGAAAACTACGGATATTTAAAGAATTAATTACTCCTAAGTTTTGTATTATTGGGGAAGTTCAAACGTGATGAAATTCTCTTGTGTAATAGTCATATATGCTAGAACCGCATGACATTGGCCTAAAATCGTTTTTCTTTCGATACAATGGTTAACTTTCTGTTTGCCGATGCAGGTTTGGTTTAACACATGACATAAGTACAAATGAACACAAATGGGCCTAGATTGAATCCCAAGCATCTAGTAAATACCAAACCACGAATATGCCAACAGGTCTCATGTAGACCTCCAAATCGTGGGCCATATAGCTGTGGAGTCCATTAGACTCTTATTTCCCACATAGGCTCACTGATATGTACACTTTCAAGTGTAACTTTAGATTTCATAAATCAATAACTGCATACAGCTATTTTAGGAAGTTTGACATATTAAAAAACTAAATTGATGAGAAAGACAAAACATGATTACTTATTTTACAACACAAAATCCAATTAGAGATTCATGACTCTTCGTACTACTTTTGCAACTTAAACCCAAGCATTCAAACTCCCATTCTTTTACATGATGAGAAATCAGTGGTAAACCAACCCAAATTAAAGCAGCACGAAGTTACTCAATATGACATATACATTATACTTACAAAAAAACAAGTACAGAGGGAGGTATCATTTTAATACACAAATGACCACTTTCAATGCCTATAAAATTTTAATTGAGCTAGGCCCTAACAAGTTCCTAAATTCCAGACTAACAATGTTGGTAGTTCACCTCCGAGCCATAGATCTGTTAGAACAAACTCCATATATAAGAGATCCATTATAAGTTAACAACGAATCAAACCCTAACAAATACATACTGCTCATTCAAACACGTGCCTTTTCATGATTGTTTCTTATTGTCACTCGAATTTTCAGTATGATTTTAGACATTACTCACATCAAATACTTCAAGATCAAACCTCAGCTTGTAATCAGAAATGAAAAGGCACTCATTATCACATGTTAATGAACAACAAACTGAGATTTTCATAGCAATGGATCACCCAAATAACAATTACATCATTTGAGACCAAATGCACATACCTTAACAGCAGTAGTAGCAAAGAAACCAGGAAAAACAGAAGAAGAACTTTCTGAAACTTTGAAGAAGAAACAAATAGCAACAAACAGTCAACAGTCAAGTGAGCTTGGGTCCAAAAATTGAAGGTTCAACCACAATAACAAAACCACGACAAGAAAGGGCAACCAATTAACTTAAAACAGCCATGAAGGAAATCAAAACTCTATTCTTGAACCTCTGAAAATCCCAACAAAGACTTCAAAAATAGAAGGAAACTCAAAATTTTCTTAAGAATCCTTTTTGGAGAAATGGTTTTTTTCATCTATTTGCTTTTTCTATCCTTTTTTTTGTGCCCTAATGATTGGAAAGAGGGTCTTTTATAGAGGGGATTTAGGGTAACAAAATCAGATTTTCTTAATTCAAAAGCACCCTTTAAACTTTTAAAATAAATCACTTACACCCCTGCCCAAAGAATTTTCCACCTCTTTTATCTCTAATATGATCCTTGTCAGCTTTATAGAATGGCTAATGCTTCAGGCAACAATTTTCACCACATGCCTCAGATAAGACGAATTATAGGCTTGAAGAATTTGGATCGTTCAAGGCCTTTTGTTCAAAATCTGGCCAAAACCATGAGATGGGGTGGTCTTGACATCAAACGGAATCCTTTTGTTGAAGAAACTGGGGAATTCACGGGGATTTGCTATGAATTGAGGGCTAAGTCAAGAAAAATCAAACAAAAGTGAAAAGTTCGAATTTTTATTTCTTAGATTTCAAATTCGGAGAAAACGAGTGATTTTTTGGAGAAACTAATGGAGGAATATGGACGAGGAGATGATGGAGGCTGTATGGTTAAAATTTGGAGGCGTTTCGAGGTGCTCCTGTCACGACCCAGGTTCACCCTCCGTGAACCATCGTGAAGGTACCTAGTCCTCTACGACTAGGTAAGCCTAAATTGCGGAAGATAAACGAAATTTGAGGAAGAAAACAATTTAAAACAGAAATAGAGTAACAAAACAGCGTTTAAAAGTGCCACTCAGCATGCACAATATTAACTCTTAAAACCAATACACTTTCCCAAAACCCGGAAACCCATGAATCACAAGCTAAGGGATACCTAAGAAGCTCTAACTCCAGAAATGCCCAACCCAAAGGGGAATACTGAAGGGCTATACTATTACAGAAAGATAGAAATGTACTCCTCGGTTTGCGGACGCGGTAGATATACCTCGAAGTCTCTATAGAAGCTCCTCGCCTCAAGGATGATAAGACAGAGTGAAAGTACCTGGATCTGCACATGAAAAACATGCACAGAAGGGGCATGAGTACACCACATTGGTACTCAGTAAGTGCCAAGCCTAACCTCGATCGGGTAGTGACGAGGAAGGTCAGGGCCCTACTGAGATAAAATAAAGAATATAGGACATGACAGTATAAGATAAGAAGTACAGTTAAAAACTAACGATAAAAATTTAACACAAGAAAACAAGGAATTCAATAAGTGAAATAGAGGCAAAACAATCACAAGAAAAATAACCGGGGATCTCTCAGTATCCCTAGGATCTCTTAGTACCCTCAATATATGGCAGGATTCTCTTGGTATCCCGAGGATCTCTCGGTATCCTCAATATATGCTAGGGATATCTTGGTATCCCGAGGATCTCTCGGTATCTTTAATATATGCTAGGGATCTCTTGGTATCCTCAATGTATGACAGGGATCTCTTGGTATCCTCAATGTATGACAGGGATCTCTTGGTATCCCGAGGATCTCTTGGTATCTCAATGTATGACAGGGATCTCTTGGTATCCTTAATGTATAACAAGGATCTCTTGGTATCCTCAATGTATGATAGGGATCTCTTGGTATCCCGAGGATCTCTTGGTATCCTCAATGTACGTGCTGGGTATCTCTCGATATCCCACACTTCAGCTCAAATCGTAAATGCGTACAGGGGATCTACCAGGATGTCGTCCCGTAGTCCCAAAGTAAAACACACAACAATGGCACAAGGAATACTCAAATAAACTCAACTTTATAACAAGGTAACACAGACAATTATAACCAAGCATGCTTTACGTAATACAAATAAGGCAGTTAAAGCAAATAAAGCAATTAAGTCAATTAGACATGCTTCTCTAACTAACAACAGGGTTAAAAGTGCAAGTAGAATAAATAGAAAGGGAAAATACAATTAAAGTTACTTAATGAAAACCGAATTTTCAACAATTAGCACAAGTACGCACTCGTCACCTCACGTACAAGGTATTTCAATTATCACAATACCAATCTTAAGGAGAAAGTCCCCCACACAAGGTTAGACAAGCCACTTACCTTGAACCGACTCAAAATCAACCTGAAACCACACTCTTGCCACGAGTACTTGACTCCAAATGGCCCAAATCTATTCAATTTAATCGTATAATGTAAATAACACTTCAAGTAACTGATTCTACAATTTAATTCTAAGCTAGTACACAAAATTAGGTAAAATGACCAAAACGCCCCTCGGGCCCATGTCTCAGAATCGGGTAAAATTTATAGTTTCAGAATCCTCACACTCTCAGGAGTCTAACCATACCAAAATTATCCAAGATGTCAAAACTCAATTTCTTGGTCTAAGAACTTTTCCCCCAATTTCCACCAAAATTTTGAAATTAAAGAATAGATTTAAGTGTAGATTCATGGAAATTAGTCTAAACCTAGTAGGAATTAATTACCCAAATCGCCTAGGTGAAAATCTCTTCAAAAATCGCAATCTCCCGAGCTCCCAAGTCCAAAATATGAATTATGGCTCAAACCCTCGATTTTGGGTTTTAAAAAATCTGCCCAGGTGTTTCCTTCTTCGCGAACGTGAAATGACCCTCGCGTTCGCGAAGCACAAAAATGACTTTAACCAAAATCCTCTTACGCGAACGCAACAAAGACACTCGCGAACATGATGATTCCTCAGACTTACCCTTTTGCGAACGCACTCCCTCTCTCGCGAACGCGATGAACTAACTCGACCTCAGACTCAGCTGACCAATTACTCTACGCGAATGCGCTGCCCTTCTCGCGAACGTGATGCACGAACATCCAGCCCTTCGCGAACGCGGAGCCTTCCTCGCGAACGCGAAGGCTAAAATTCCACTATCTTCTACTGACTCTTCGCAAATGCGAGGGTCCACTCGCAAACGCGAAGAGTAAATATCTGCAACAGCTGAACCTGTAATTCTGCAACTCCAAACTTCATGAAATGGTCCGATTGACCACCCGAAACTCACCCGAGGCCCCTGGTATCTCAACCAAACATACCAACATATCCTAAAACCTCATTAGAACTTGTTCCAATCTTCGGAACACAAAAAACAACATCAAAACACCTATTTCTCATCAGATTCAAGCCTAAGAATTCCAAAAACTCTAAAAATACGCTTTCGATCAAAAGATCTATCAAATCTCGTCCGAATAACCTGTAATTCTGCACACACGTCACATTTAACACTATGGAGCTACTCCAGCTTCCGTAATTTCATTTCGGCCCTCGGATCAAAATCTCGCTATCAAACCGGAAACTTTAAAAATTCAACTTCTGCCATTTCAAGCCTAAATTAGCTACAGACCTCCGAATACAATCCGAACACGCTCCTAACCCCGAAATCACCCAACGGAGCTAACGGAACTATCAAATTTCCATTCCGATGCCGTCTTCATATTGTTCCGACTACGGCCAACTTTTCAACACTTAAGCTCTCATTTAGGGACTAAGTATCCCAAAATTCTCCGAAACTCAAAACCGAACATCCCAGAAAATCAAAATAGCAGAAATAAACTCAGGGAAAACAGTTAATAGGGAATTGAGGTATTAATTCTTAAGACAACCGGCGGGGTCGTCACAGCTCCGCCGCCGCGAGACGATTTTCGGGCGGAGGAGATACGACGGAGGTGGGCGGCGATTTCAGAGAAGGGAAGACCTAGGTTTTGGTTTAAAAATCGGATTAATGGAGACTAAAGGGAAATTGGCCGTTTAATGGGTTGGAATAAATAAAACGACGTAGTTTTGTCACACAACTACATCGTTTTGGAGTGAAGGGGGCTGACAAAGTTTGAAGGGATTGGGCTTGGGTCAGGGGTGGTTTTGGACGAGTTTTGGGCTAGGGAATTGGGGAACAAATTGAATTTCAACCCAAAAAAATGTATTAGAACCTTCAAATCATTTTTCTCTCTTTATTTTATTATTATTATTAATCTCTTTTTTTTAATTAAAAGAAAAATCCTAAATTAATCTAAAAAAGTGGAATTAAACTAGTTGCCTAATAACAAAAATTATAAAAATCAACTAATCCTAAATTAAAAGTGAAAAAATCAATAATTCTCAAAATAAAGGAAAAAAATGTCAAAATGGGCTATTTTTGTGATTTTTATTTTTAATAAAGCAAATAATTAATTAATTAATCCTAAAAAAGTAAAAACAAACCTAAATGCAATGCATGATATTTTTTGGCATTCTTTTTCATGATTTTAATAAAATTAAACGTGCACAAAAATGCAAACAATTAATAAAAATCTACAAAAAATTCGTAAAATGGCAAATATTTAAGAAAAATCTATTTTCTTGGGATTTTATAGGAGTAGTTCGTATAGGGCAAAAATCACATGCTCACACCTAATACTGTGATAGGCGCCATTACGACAAGGGTGTTTGGGGTCGTGACATAAGCATCCTCTACCCTTAGCCCTATGGTTGTGGGTTCGAACCATCAAGATAGCAAAGCAAAAAGCTACTGGGTAGGAGTAATAAAAAAGGGGCTGATAGAAACACATATGTTTTGTATTACACGATGATAGACTAGAAACATGAGTTATTGACTGCATTTCAACTTTTATTAATTGTACTTTAATCGTATTTGAGCTTAAATATGAGTAGTCCATGCTTATTATGTAAATTTTGTGTGCAAGATTTAGTTCTGAGTTAAGGAGCTCTTTTGGAGCTAAAGCGAGTACTTTAGAGCTTCAAAGTTTGAGTAGAAGTTCAATTATTAAACCGGCATCAAGTTTAGCACTCAAGGGCCGACTCTCTATACAAAAAATGAAAGAGAAGTCAAGAAGCTGAATATATGGCCTAAGGCATTGGATGGTGCATTGCACAAGGCGCCACATTAGGATAAATCGTCAACTGTGACGACCAGCCGGTCGTCTTAAGAATTAATGCCCCAATCCCCCATTAACTTCTTTCCACAAGTTTATTTCTGCTATTTTGATTTGCAGGGATGTTCGGTTTTGAGTTTCGGAGAGTTTTGGGATACTTAGTCCCTAAATGAGAGCTTAAATGTTGGAAAGTTGACTA